AATCATAAATAAAAAGTTGACAATTTCGAATCTGAGCTTATTTCGTGTTTAAATCAAAATAATTGTTGATGCCAAGAGGAACCAATTCTGCCTCAATTTCTTTTTTTTAAATGGGACAATTATTTACTTTATAAATAGATTCTTACCCATTAATGCCCAAATTTGTTCCACTGATGGATCAAATCGAGGACCACGTGGAATAATAACTTTTGCATCAGGATATTTATCTAAATAGATTTTTGAATGAGATAATTTTGGTCCAATTCCATCAAGAAAATGTTGAAAACTCCATCCATCTGGTACAATATATATAATAGCTTTATCATAAATAACAGTTGCTTGATTAATTGATTTAAATGTACGTCGTATAGCGTCTTCACCATATCTATAACCACAATTATCATTTAAATAGAGACCATTTTTAATAAAAGCAATATGAACTTGACGATGTTCTTGTAAATCATCAAAAAGAAATCCATTTGTTTCACATGCATTATTTGGACATTGTTTTGAATACAGTTTATAGTAAGTCGAATTCAAAAACCAATTACGTGCTTCATCATCAGAAAAATGTGGTAACTTTGCTGTAAATGGTTCTAAAGTGTATGATATTTGATTGAATTCATCATTTGATGTTAATACTGTTGGAAATTTTCGTTCTATCGGAATAATTTTAATTTTCGAATGCCAAGTTTGTAAATAGATTTTATCAAAAATGGCAATAAATAAAATTAGAAGTATCAATATTTTTATTAAACGAATTGGATACAAACGCATTTTGTTTTGAAAACAAGAATAAAAATCAAATTACCAGACAAAAAAAGCAATAATGATAATGTATCAAATAATTAAATATTGTTTTTTTTGTTCACATAAAATAAAAATTTCTTGACTAAATTAGAAGCTATGTCCTTTTTTGTCATTTATTGATAATAGATATCTTTATTCTAAACAATGTAATCTAAAAGTAGGACACATTAGAAAGAAAACAAAGCTTTAAATGTAGAACTATAACACTAGAATAATGCATCAACAAACTAAGATAAGAATAGAAATGAGAGAAAATTTAAAAACATACAGATCAACTAATCCATATACCAAAGAAAATCGTGTATTTTTTTCACAAGTAATTCTTCTTTCCATCTAATTAGACAACGCACAAAAAAAAATATCTAGTTAGAAAATCCATTTGTAATCACCACTGTCTGTAGGAGAGACCTTTGAAACCTATGCTTACTATTTTTATTCAGAGTCCCACAAAACTAGAAGATAAGAATGAACGGGTTTTTCAGATCATGTAAAATTTAACTGGCACTAGAACTTAGATTCGAGTTGACAACACATTATATCTGCGATGTAGATGTAAACAGAACGATTCAGACTCTCAACCACTGAGGAATTTTGTTTGCATCTACAAAATGGAAGTCTTTCATTTTCTCATAAAAGAAACAATTAAAACACTGTTCGTGGAGTACACTTTATGACTAGTTCTGCAAAGAAAATTCAGATTACCAAAACATAATGGACTGTTTTCTGTCTATTGAAATAAAGGAGCGAATGAAAGAAAATTCCTTATTGATTAACAACAAATAATTGCATCGCTCTATTGTTCATATAAAATGTCATCTCACTTGATATTTATCATGAAAAGCAGACAAAGATTGAAGAGAGAATGCAGAAGTATATAGTCAGAAAAGTGAACTCCTCATCCTCTCTCACAGACCATGACAGACATGTTAACCTAGTGTTATGGATCTTCGGACTATAGTATAACATTTCGACTTTCAAACCGTCTTCTTAAAACCCGAAAAAATAGAACAATTATGCCAGCATGATTCACTGCTACATACATATGTATATCATATGGACACAACATAAAAGGAAAATCAAAAATGAAAAGATAGAACAGAATCGATATACAGAAGAAGAATGACAATTCCTTTTCCCTTTCAATGTCTCCATGTTCCAATCTTTTCTCCCGTATACTCTGCCTATATTATGTGCTTATGTATGTAAAAGTGAATCATACTGGCATAATTGTCAAAATTCCATGTGTCTTAAGAGGACATTTTTAATGCTGAAACTTTACATCAAGTGAATTTTCACAACATCCAAACGATTATTTTAGTCCATCTCAAAAATAACATACTTACCAGCAGGTGGACAAAAATCTTAAATTGTGTACACAACCTTCTGTGAAATAGGACTAAAAATACTGAACCTGGCAATGGACAGTGTGGATGTATTGGTGGGTCAATCAAGAGTGTAGAACTGCACATACCACATACACTAAAATAAAATAATGATACATTCAATGAGATTTAATCACTTCGTTCTTTATCTCTTTTCATATTTTAATCTCAACAAACCCTATGATTTCATTATCAAAGAAAACTATTTAATGATGAAGGTTCTTCGATTCATTTCTGAGATTAATTGTTGTTGAATGAGTGGACTTGACCTTAGTCGAACATATATTATTCTAACAATATTGCCTTTTTCTAGTTTAATAATCAATGTATTTTTCTATATTGACTGCTTAATTTAAAATTGATGACATAAATTAGAAATGCAATCAGTTTGCTGTTTTGATGATCGATAGCAGTAAAGACCGATCTCTCCAGGAAAGACTAGTTTGATCGGTAAATGCTCTTCCAACTCGTAAATATCAGGCTATCAGCTGACCAACCGACCTGAAACCTGCACCGGTATCGTTTTTATCTCTGACCTCAAGCAGGGCTCTTATAAAACGAGTATATTATAGCATGTTACGGTGAAAGCCATATCCAAACATGCTACGCGTTTCCACCTGTTAATCTTTCTCAGTAGCGACGATGTATCATCAAATCATAGAATTCTCACTAAAAGAGGTTCTAAACTAGTGATACTAGTATTGACCCTAAAAGCAACTTTGAAACCATAGCAGTTTTTCTTGACCATTTTTCTCAGCCCCAGAGAAGCTCGTGATATGAATCTAACAATGAATAACTAACTCGTAGCGTAATGCATGCGTCAAAATGAGAAGTTTCCAGAGTGGCTAGACCTATTCTAGAATCCTATCAGATTCGATAGGATTTCTTCGACAAAATAGCTTCTGATAGTATGATATCATAAGTTGAAGATTTCTGCTTACCAGATACCGATAAAAGTTTTTATGTTGTATTTGGCAATATCTGATCCTTCAAAATCACTGTGTTGATTACAGATGCCGTGGTATTTTGCTAGATTAACTTACGCAATCAATTTACTGTCAAAATGAAGTAATCTCTCTCCTTCCGAGTTTCTCTGTATACAATCACATTTTAGACGACCGTATATCTCTAAACCGTACACGGAGAAATATAATCGTATACGAAGAAATACAGAGTAAAATGGAAGCCGTAGACGACCTTTGTTTGTCCATAAACGATCGTATTTCTGCGCATACGAACACGGAGCTATACAAACGCAATACTAGGCGACGTGAAACGCCGTATTACTCCGATTACAAGCGTGTTTGCTTGACATGGGTTAATATTGACAACCATTTGATAATACTTGGAAGAAATCAGATATGATGGAATGCAATAGCAACAAGCAGGCACACCCCA